TTAGATATCCCTTTAAACACTTTTGAATTTCCAAAATGACTACGCAAACTTACATCTAAGTCTTTACATAACTCAATAATACCCAGGAAAACACCTTTATTATTAGAGTTAATTTTTTCATTGTGACCTCTTAATGGTAAATTATGTTGTCCACAAAATTTTATACAGTTCAGAATTTTTTCTAATATATAACGATTTTTATATATTTCTTCATTATGATGTTGAATCCTAATTTTATAGCCCGAGTCAATTTTATTGAAAATATTGATAATACCGAGTATTTTGAGATTAGCTTAATTTTGCAAGTGTTTAAAAGAATTCTCGTATTTTTTAATCTTTTCAGATAAATGACATAAATGTGTTACACCTGTTTTAGTCAAAGAAATGTCACCACCAAAACATAAACAAGGAAAACAATAAACAGCTAATTTTATATCACAACCACATAACCACTTGTGTTTTGCATAATAATCCGAATTAAAATGAATATATTCATTTTTACCTTTTTTCGCTTTATTGATCAATCCTTTCAATTCAGGTGCATGTCTTCCAAGCTGTTTTATTTCAATTTTTTGTTCATAAGTATATGACGTAAAAGGTTTTGAAATATAATTAATTACTGCATTTTTAAATGTGGGTGAATCCATGATATAAAAAAATAATTCTAATGTATACGACCGCACTAAGTAAATGATAAACACACTCACGTTCGGAATCCGTGTATATTGGGCGATTAAAATCATCGCCCCGGCGGTAGCGTTATTGCTGTGTCTCCCCTTCTTAGTTTTTGTATTCCGATCATGCTTATGAAGAGCGAATTTTAATATCGCCCAAGCATCGCATGCGCTGCTCGCGGGTCCCGGCAAATTGTTATCGGTTATAGATTCTCAAAAGCTACAACGTTGAATGATTTATTTTCAAACTCCTATTATCTGATAATGTTTTTATAATATTTATTAGTATAAATATAGGAAACACAATTTTTATTTTTGACAATATTATACTACAATATAAATTTGATATTAAACTTATAAATTAATAATAAATTATAATTTTAAAAGGGGGGCGATCGCCCCATCACTCCTATCTACGAGCCGCCACTCTTATTAAGATACTAAAAATTATAACGTTCAGTCAAACGTAATCCGGAATAACCACGGAAACATTTTAATTTTAGATTTCTTTAGCTTAGTGATCTGCTAATAATTAGTATAAAGTTATTTTCTTAGTAACAAATCAATTCGTTATCTACCACAGGCTTATTATCGATTAATAAAACAAACCCAAAACGCGTATTATAATATATATATATATATATACATATATTTGACTTTTAACATTTTATTTTGGGGTCTCGTTCTAACCGTTCGATCATTGCTGCAGTTTTAATCGTTCGGCAATCATGGTTTCACCATTTGCCGACTTCTAAAGTTTTTTCATTAAGGAACATTTGAAGGCACAATAGAAATTGCGAATAATGGATGCAGAGGGCACTGGGAAAGTTTTAAAAGCTTGAATTGTATGGGTTTATCCGTTTTCCATTTATTTATTACGCACTATTTCAATAATCGACGACAGACGTATTTTCAAAACAAAATACATATTTTTGACAAGATAAAAATGAAACATGGTACAGTCATCATCTGTATTTTATTTTTTGTAAAATATATAATATACCATATTTTCCTCGACTGTCAAAAAATAAATAAATGAAAAAGAATAGTGTCATACAGTTAAAACATCCTTTTAGGTTATGATGTATATGTGCGTAGCGGTGTAGATAAATTACTTCTTCGAAACCTTCACCTGGTACATATTTTTAAAATACTTAAAAGCGCACGCATGTTTACACGTTAATAATAACAGTGCGTTTATTTTAAATACGTTTTGTGAAAAAAATTAAACTAAAACTATTTATCTAATGTAAAAGTTGCAAGTTTTTATTTTATTGGCAACAAACATAAATCAAGAATAAAGCTTTTATAGTAAATTTGTATACATGTATTGCAATCGATATATTTTTAATGTTATCCAATACTCGAAGATCGCGTAAAATTAAATAGAATTTTCTTCTAATCGCAATGAATTCGGTTTATATTTATTTCTATTACTAGCTGAATTAAAAAAAAAAAAAATTTACCTTGTAAATTTTTATACTCAGGCGCGAAAATACAACGTTTTTCAGGTGATTTTCTTAAAAATAATTAAAAAATAATAACCTGAAAGTTGCAAAAATGACTTATAAATGTTGACGAAATTAAATTGTTTAATGATCTACCATTAAACGATATTATTTATTTAGTGAAAATATTTCATATATAATCGCCGTAGTATCAGAGAAATATATCAATCAAATGCAAACTTTTCTGAAAAGACAAATTAATATACTTTAAAAAATATAATTAAATAAATATAAAATAAATATAAATATAAATATAAAAAAATTATTGAAGTTAGAATTTATCGTTAATTTTATTAAAAATTATCAGACTTATATAGGAAATGCCTATTATTATTATTATTTTATTTATACCTTAAATTTAATTTACTCAACTATAAATTAAATGTTAATGTAAAGTGTTACTTTAATGTAACAACTATATATAAAAATATATTATATATAATGTATTAACTATCTATGTTACTTTATTTTTAATCCAAATTGTCGTATTATTTTTCTTTTTTTATTTTTTTCAATCATATAATATAATATAATATATTTATATATAAAAATATATATAAAATATATACATTTAATATTTTATAATATAATATTATTACATCGCATCCACCACTTAAACTATGTGTAGTAAGATTTTTGTATGTTTATAATAATGAGTCTTAGTTTAATTAATGCAATTTATTCGTAATTTATTTACATTACTGTTTGTGTGTAATGAGGGTGCGGAAGACAGAGAGAGAAACTAAAGGTGAAAACTTTTGCTTGAACAAATCATTCCGTAACAAACAACGCAAATAATTGATAAGGCAATCAAAATGTTGAAAAACGAATAAATAAATGATTCTCACGTTGGTTTGAAAACATACATTTATTTTTCTATACAATGCCTCTCCCTTGTGTTTAGTGGTTTACTTGGTAAATCCTGAATGACTTGGTTCTTGATCGGAATATAAGGAGATAATCGTTCCTATGGGATGTTTATGGAATATTCCTAAGGGTAATTTATGGAGTCCGATATCGATTTTTAATACAAAAACTTCGTTTCCCGGCAAAAACGCGCAGCTTAAAAACGCGGCTTACACTAAGAAATGCAGGTCAACTCGAAAATGTTTATATTTATCAAATTAATTAATAATAAATTCGATTACCAATTAAAATTGATAGATTTAACTAATTGGTCTCGGAAAACCCGAAAAACATATGTAAATCAAAGCAGTTATCTGATTTTCGTTGATGGAGTTGACTCGAATGCACGCGTATTAATGTTTTTTCTCATTTAAACGTCACTTGTATGAATGTTTTCAAATGCATATAACTGCATTTATCATAATTTTGTTTAGAACTACAGGTTACGAGCCTTAGCTATTATACGTGGGTATTATATATATATATATATATATATATACTATGGCTCTAATTATTCTAGGAGAAGTCTGTTATATTAATTTGTGCTAAGAACAACGGACTTATAATTTCAACGTAGATTCGTGATCGAGGAAAAAATCTGGATACGATTGGTGAAAAAAAACGGAAAAAACTACGTATCCAATGGTGAACAATATTGGGTCGCACTATTTTCAACGTAAACATATTTCTTTTATTCAAAATACGAACGTTGTGAATTCGACAGCCGAATGAATAATTATATCGATTTATGCCACTGGTAGCTTGACCTTAGACATAATAACATAGTCACTTTTCGTGAGCAGAATTATTTAAAAGTAGTTCTGCCATAGTGTTGTAATTCTTAACAATTTTAAGATGAAGAATTATCTAATATTAATTTTGTAATTTTTATTTTTTTCTGAAATCTCATTTTTCGTTAAAATCTTAACTATTAGCCTCTTATTTGCCCCGCTTAAATTAAAAAAATCCTAGCACGGATTGATGAGTGACCGGACGTGGAATAAACGCTGATTTTCAACGATAGCGGTGACGGTCAAGTGGAAAACGTGACAGCAAAAGCGAAACCCGAAAACCGATCAACGTTGCTGGGCCTCGGTCCTCAAACGCAGCTCAACGGGTACGTACATGTCCCCAGCACCCCTACATATAAAATTAGTATTTATTTTTTTTGCTAAATATTTAGTTTGCAGTTTTTACGAATTTGTATGCCTATCCCCGACATTTGTGTACGAACTTTGTTGAAGTACTACAAACAAAAAAGGGCGGTGCTGGGGGCACGTGTTATAAACATTGAACTCCCGAAAAGTCTCGAAGTTTTTTTTAAAAAACTATAACTCGTCCTTAAGAGGAGCGTCAATAATTCGAGGAAATAATAGCTCAGCACTAGAAGAACATAATTTATTTAATAAAGTTGATACAGGTGTACAGGTTGATACAATACAAAATGTACAATCAAGATGACCAGATAATATATTATATAAAACTATCAATGAAGATACAGTAGAAGTGATAAATATATCTAAAACTATAACAGTAAATTCAAATTAATTGGCATGCCCTCTGTACAATACAAGTAAATTAGACATGTTTTTATAAATCATGTAGTTAAAATTATTTTAATTAGTTATAAATTATTATTTTTAGGTGTATTTCCTTTCAAAGTGGAGCTCATCGTTGTACGAAGTGCAATATTTCGGTTCACTCGTTATCCTTATACTCAAATTATAAACTAAGTTATGAGACGTACGAATTTGTTTTTCATTTATAAATCTTTTACAATCTATTGAAAATAAATCGACAAATTTAGACGGAGTATCATTGGCATGTGAGAATTGTAATAAGAAATCTAAAAAAAAATAATTCTTAACTTGAGGCAAATCCTTATTTAAAACATATTAATTTAAAAAATCTAAAATTGTGAGGACCTTACCATTATTAAAAAATAGATCACGAGCAATAAAATTAAAGACCTGTTCTGTTAAACAAATAGAAAAAGTTGTATTAACGAATACTTGTGCGTTTGATATAATTGCGTCTATATTTTTGGTTGCTTATAGCGATAGTTAATAATATTCTAATAAAATTGATATAATTTTGATTTCTTCTACTTTTTTTTAGTTTTATCGCTAAGATACTAAAATATAGCATTACAGCATCAACATATTCGCAAAGGGCTGATATTATAATAAACACTCTACAACCAAATGTAAAAGAATTGGACAATCTAAAATTAGTAGTTTGTGATTCGACGGCATCAAAAATATTTAATACATTGTTTGGCCAATTCCCTTCTATTATTGAAAATATTGCATGTTTAAACGTAACATGTAAAAGCAATATAACTATTTCTATGATATACTTAACGTATAATACATATGGAGATTTGAGTGATCTTCCCAAATTCATACAAGGAAGAGTAATGAGAGAAAGTTCGGTGTGTGGCTCCGTAGAAGGAAATTATTCTTGTCAAAAGACAAAAATAATAACCACTTCTATATCAAATAAACACATTATAGTGGAATTAATCAAATGGGAAGGTAGGTGTAAACAAAAAAAAATGTTAAATATTTGAATTCTGTATTATTTTCATACATATTGATTTAATTGCAGGTGATGATATCAATTACAGTATGCAGACCAGTCCTCAGTTTAATATAAAACTTGAAGACATACCACAAATAATCGTATGTTCAAATGAAACAATGGAATTGAGAGGTATTGGCTGTTATCGGCCTGGACTCAGCTGTCTAAGGATGGCAGTTGGCCATTACTGTGCCGTTTGTAAAAGAGGGAACAGTTGGGAGTTGTTTGATGACATGAAAAAACATTCAACTCAAATGAAGTCTACAACAATAGTTCTGTGTGAATACTTGGTATACACAATTTGAATATACAACATATATAATATATTTTCTATAAATGTTATGTAAAAATTATAAAATAAAATGAATTAATTAAGGAAAAATTATACTATATCAGTATTATATTTTATTAACATAATTTCAATTTCAACGGTTCATTTTGGGGGTGCTGGAGATACGTACCCCCAGCACCGCCCCGGTTTTTCGTGCATAGTGCTAAAACCAGTGTTGGGAATAGATGATGCAAAATTTATCTAGATAAAGATGAAAGATAATATGTCCAAATTCATCTAGATAAAGATAAAAGATAATTTCATTTTTATCTAGATAAAAAAAAAGATATTTTCAAAAAATGTTATATTTTGTCAATATTTCATATTCTAATAATATCTATGAAGACTCAATTATAATCATTATCATCAATAGGTACCTAGGTGTTTAATATTTATTGTAGTAACTTAGTGTACCATTAAGCAGTATTTATAAATATTGTACAATATTTAATGACAGTTAATCACTAAAATGTTAACAAAAAAAAAAAAAAAAAAATGAAAATTACTTTGTACGTATCAGGATGAATACAGAATACATAAAAAAAATATTTTAATTTAACAATACTGTTTTCCATATAATATTAATTTGATTATATTCATTATTTTATAAGTAGTTACGACTTTACGGGTTCCAAGAGTGAAGTAATAACTATTCAGCGTACGAGTTACGTGTGCATTCTAAAATCAAATACCTACTATATTTGGAACATCCGTGGAGAAATAAGAAATTAAATTTAAAAATACCAAAAATATTTTTCCGACATGAAAATATAAATAAAAATATATATCAAGAAATAATAATTACTTATTAATAATACACGAATTATGATTATGAATACAATATCTATATGTATAAAAGAAAGTCAGGTTATTTACAGAATTTATAATTCAAGAACGGCTGGACCAATTTTGATGGTTTTTGATTTGTTGGATTCGTTTCCGTTCAAGAATAAAAGTAACTCTAATCTTGGCAAGAATACAGACAATTATCTCGATAAGTAAAAATTTTATCCTAGATAAGTTATTAGATAACTTAGCGTTATTTATCTAGATAAGATAAAAGATGACAAAAAATCTATTTAGATAAGTCCCAACACTGGCTACAACTAAGTTCGTACAAATTTGGGAAATAGGCATACAAATTTATACAAATTGCATATTAAATATTTAGCAAAAAAAACTACAAATTTCATATGTGGGGGTGCTGGGGACATGTACGTCGAACGGGTCCGTCCGCAAACAATCGTACTTGTCCTACTGCCGCGCCGGGCACGTACTCTTTCTCATGCGCACGAAATCGATAAGGTTCCGCTCGCCATGCGATTTCAACGGTCCTCGCGCTCGTACGAATCGGGATAAATCGCCTCCCCCACCTCTACAAAGACTGGAGAAAATAATAAATTCCTGGTTTGAAGCGGTCGGAAAGGGTGTATGTCACCGATGTTCTAACAGAATGATAGAGTGGTGCGACCAGGGTCTAGGGGCGTCGATGATAAGTTAAGTCTGGAGTCCTGTAACTGTTGAAGTATCGTCGATTTATTCTTTTTCAATAAAGGACTACCTGTACACTCGTCATTAAATGCGTTACTCAATTCTTTCGCGTTTAAAAACCCTCCAAGTTTACGTAAATTATGTGACCCCCTTTGAATCTTGGGACATCCCCCCCCCGACATCCACCCCGGTTGTTGCGCCGTTTAGTGCAGTAGGTAGGAAGTCAACTACTATGAAATCACAAAAACGTTAATTTTTCGTCCGTCCATGTTTAAAAGTAGATGTTTGATATTTTTAACGCAGAAGACTACGAGCCTACTATATTGACACTTATCGGTGTAGCCACATCCGCATTTCACGGAATTCTAATTCGATGATTTAAACACACCCCACGTACGTTTGACAAGCTCGTGTTGTTCGATCTGCGCCGACACGGACACGTACCGAAGTACTCGGACTGAGTGAGACCGATTCTGTTTTTATACCGACTGGTTATCGTCATTCGCCAAATACGTTTGTCTATTTCACATTTATTTTTCTAAGAATCTATCAAACACAATTCATATTCGTTTTTCATACATATACGTATTGTAATGGCAAAAAAAGCGGTTCGAGGACATAACAATGAAATCTATTGAAATCATCATCACTCGTTATCGTACAGTTCATGGTCGATCTTCCATTCGTAGCCCCGTTAACAAATTATTTGTTACAATATTTGGCTTTCCAATTTTGCAACCATATTTTTTCTTTTCTTTTCGCGATTAATAAAAATAATTTGTTTTGCGCTCTCCTGAACTAAAACTCCATAAACCAATAAAACCACGTCTGCCAATTCCGGATCCATTTTCGGCTACAGATGAAAATGACTAGGACAAATATTTTCACTGTACGAACACTGTCTATGTTTACAATTAAGTCCCTCCTCCTTCCACATAAGAAATTTTAATGTATGCTACTGCCGGGATACGTTTGTCGTTTCCACCGCTATTGCGAACGGTATGTGACACCCCCGCAAGTATACCTAACGGCGGATACCTGGCACGCATAGTTTTTGATAGGCATGAGACGTACGAGTCTGGAAATCGTTTAAAAACATAATTCGTTTAGGTACGGTACACGTACGCGTTCAATCGCGTATACTGTTTGGCGATGAATTTGTTTGAAATATTGATTTTCACCCAAACACTGTTGTTAACGTGTTGTACTTTATGCATCCGGTATACGACCAACGTACACATATTATATATATTATACTATATACTGTCAGTATTGTACTATATTTGTGTAGGTGATTGTGCGTTTTCTAAAGGGCGCGCTTCGTCTATCACAGAGTTCAAATGAAAATCAAACTAATTTTACTAATCGTTACAATATACGACAATATTAACCAATATACGAGCGTGACTTCGTTATTTTAATTATGCATATCGACCCGTGGAAAAAAGTTTGAGATGAGTTGCAAAGTATGAATAAACGAATACAAATATGTTAAATATGGTTATTTTTTTAATTTAGCAATAAATTAATATGGTGGTATTTATTTCGTGGAAATTTCTTAGTTATGTCTAAAGTTGGTTTGTAATTGCAAAATATGACTTGTTGCTCTGCGGGTGTAATAAAAAATGTAACTGTTCATAACGAATAAAATTTTTAGCTAAAAAATTATTTGGCACGGTTGGATGAATTTATCGTTAGGTAACACGAATTTCTTCACTCATCCGTGATATTTAGATTGCGGCTTATTTTGATAAGCTTTTCTATTAGGAAAAAAAACAGTTAGTGATCGGAGTACACGTGTTGTATGCTATTTACAGTCGATTTATCGGTATCGTATTATTACTATTAATATTTAAGAAATAAAACCAAACACACATCATAATAAAAAAAATTACAATTTTCTTCACCAAATTGTTAATCGTAGCAAAAACTTCATAATCTTATATACAAGTGCTCAAATAAAAACAACAGAGTATTTATGGAGACGTGTAAAAATAAAATATAGTTCAAGATCACGTGAAGAAACAAATCTTTTCGAAATGAAATCACGGGAATAATGGTGATGCTCATTTCATTCGACTAATTTCTAAAAATAAAAATAAAAAATGTTTAATATTTATTAGACGATTAGGATTTGAATAACAAATGTACAACTACAAGTTCCAATAAAAATTTTCAGGTAAGTTAAGAATACATTTTTTGTATTCATTTATTGTAGGAAGCATATAACACGTGTACCATGGTCGGAGCGAATCTTCTAGTTGAAATCAAAATTTAGACAAAAATTACATACATGTCACAGTAAAACTGATACATTTCTAGGTTCACACAGAATCTAGTTAAGGTACGTCTAGATTGAAGTAAAAAAAGACTAAAAGTATGCGTGTGCGTGCATTACACTCCATAACGATTTCTATAATTTTTCTATTTATGCCTGATATAAGTGAATCAATTCATAAGAAAAATTTACCCTATTCATTTTTTCTTATTGGTAGAGGGCGAATATCCTAATTTTTGACTTTCACAAGCACTCAACGTGACGAAAAACTGTTAAATAAAATTTATGGACTTATGTGCATGAATCCAATTGTGAACATAATTTGATATTTTGATACGTATTGAAAGACAATAATTTAAACCATACAATGAACAACTATACACATATCAAGAGTAAAGGGAGTGCAGGAAATGCGACCACAAAGGACTTAAAGCTTTTTTTATTGATAGGAATTTTAGTTTTATGTATAACTGTAATGTAGAAAAATAATAATAATAATTATTTTTTTTTTACTGATATGATTATGTATTAAGTAACGTTATTTTTTTCGATTGAGTTGCCATATGTACATATATATATATATTTGTCGGGTCCGTGTTCAACGCGAATTCTACCACCACCATCACAGTATTTACCAACACCCATCCATGAAACACCCTTAAGCTGAAAATAATAATATACTAAAAAGGATTAAGGTGGTAAAGTTACGAATTTTTAATTGTCAAGATATTAGGGGAGGTGCCTCGCTTTTATTAATTACACAAAGACTTGCAGATCATAGCGTGGGCACTGACAGTAAGTATATTTAATTTTTTTATTGCCTGAAAAAATCCGAGAGAAAAAATGCGATACCAAGACCTTTCATCCGTATAATCCCTAAGGCAAAGTATCCTTCTCTACCCTTTCCATGGTTTCGGGCTGAATAACGGTCACCGGGAACTGACGTGATACATATACTATATAATTGTATATTTCAAGCGTAATTTTTCCAGAAATTTCGAAAAATCGTTGGCAGTAAGAAGAATCTGGCCGCCGTTAATCACACGCAACCGTGAATGGTAATAATCATGCTGTAAGTTGGAACATAATGCGCGCGGCACGCGGTGACTATTTTTTGCTACCGTTTTGAAAACGTCGTGGGTTCTCGCACCGTGACTGGCAGTAAAATAATGTATAATAACGGTATCATAACATTTTTAACCGGA